TGTGTTGACACCTCAGATTTTAACTTATTTATTTTTTGTTGTTGTTAGGAAGGAGTGTCTACTCAAAACCATAGGAAAGCCTCATATTCTGTTCATCTTTACCCCTTCTTTTGCAAGATCCAGTTCTGTAGGTTTAGCTTGTCTGGAAGACAGAAAAATGGTTCACTGGGCTGAAAAGAGAACCCTGTACGCAGGCGCAAACTATTTTTGTCCTCATTATTAGTGACCATAGTGAATTTGTGAAAAATACGTATAGGGAGAAATCACTTTATTTCTACCTAGCAGCTCAAACAACTGTGTCTAGATCAATTCTACTTATAGTGGATCTTTTCTAATTAAATGATTTAAGCCCATTATAAAGTATACATCAAAGAAAAGCTTAGTGGAATCATTGACTTGTATTTATACATGTTAATAATATTCATTTTTATACTAACTTCATAAAAATGGTAGTATTTGTATATACATTTATCAGCAGAACTGTGAAAAAAAGGTATAACTTTTTCATAAGCAGTGAATTCAAGAATGAATGCCTAAATAATCTTTGCAAAGATTCCTGTACCGTATGAACTTTAAGTTAAAAAAAAAGTTCCACCTTTTATTTATGAATTTAGAAAACATACATAAAAGGGACATTTGAGATAATTGAATCCCTTCTTCTTAACCAATACTCGAGTATTTTTTACAAGAAGATTATAATACAGAGTAGAAAGGCATGAATGAAGGAAAGATTGGCTGTATTTACGAAATAAAGACCTCAAGAAATGAAAGGTTTTACAGAGATATCTAGACTCTTAAAATGCCTTTATCTTTATCACACCTTTATCACACCTATATACAACCTGTGTATATCTAGTCAAAGTGGTGCTTTGAAATACAAGCTTCTTGGGGGCAGGGAATTTCTGATAGATGCTATAAGTCAGTTCCTTTGAGTTTCTGGAGCCTTTCTACTCTTTGAAATACCGGAAATACTAGTGAAATGCCAGAAGTGATTTCATGAGTCAGCTTAACTTGTTTCTTACTAAGCACAATAAAAAGCTAACTTAACATAAATAACATCAATTCACCATATCCACTGGCCCTGACAGGTCTGTTAAAATAAGTATGCTTTGGCATCTAAAATGTTCTCATAACAAAGTAACAAATGTGTATTTTCAGCCTCCAACCATCTCCCTAGGCATTTCAGTTGATGTTTACGGGTGCTGTGAAGGGACAATGTGCTAGGTCGTCCTTGATTTCCTCATTGTCATTATTTGTGATCGCTCACTCAACGGTATTATGCCTTCTATGTTTAAAAAGATCTAAGAAAACATTTATGCTAATATTCTTTTCTTTTTTTTCTTTTTTCCTTTCCCACAGTTCCTTCAGATGTATTTTTCATCAATTCAGTATGGAAGGGATATTATGAATATTTAGGGAAAAGACAACCTGCAACTTTAACAGTTGACTGGTTCAATGCAACAAGCAGTAAGGTCAATGCGACTTTCCTTGAAACTTCTCAAGTGGAGCTGAAATTGACAGGTAGGCCCTGAAGTTTTTACTAAATGCGTAATGTAAGCACGAGTAGAACCCATTACCCTGTCACAGAGAAGGGATCTAACATTTACTAAGTACTTATTTTGAGTACTTACGCTGAGTTGTCTTTGCATATAAAATGTCTCATTGGATCCTTTCCATGACCGGGATAGGCATTATTTTCTGATTGTAAAGATTAAGAAACCAGTGCTTAAAGTGAATTCATTCAAGATTATGCATATAACATATTAAGTCATGGATCTGAGATTTATATCCAAATATGCTTGTCTCCAAAATTAATTCTTTTCATATCCTTCTTTCTTAACTGTAGCCCTCCTCATGAGTTTATTTTTTTGTTATTCCACAATTAATAAAATAGCAACAATGTTTTGAATGACTTATATGCCAGACAT